GCACAAATATGGTGATAGGAGTAGTGAGCTATCGAAATCCGTCAGCTGCGGTACATACGCTCGCGACGCTCCGTCACCTACGCGTGAGAGGTCTGCAGTTCAGAACGCCATTTTCAGGTGGCTATCTACGAGTTGATTGCAAGTTTGATTGCGCATCGTGGGCATCGTCCTCATTTTTTATTGAAGTCAAATGATGCGCAAAACGTCAAATAAATGAACTATGTAAAAAACAATATTTACTAGTAAGAAGCTGACCTTGATCTGAGTAACGCCATAATAGGCGAAGATCAGATAAATTATGTACCACAATAATGCAATGCCTCGAATTACACGATTCATCAGCAGCGGAGCATACCTACAACGAACACTACCGTAGCAGAGTGAACTAAAATGGATTTCAAATCTTACCAATCCCGGAAAAATCTAGAAATCGCAGCCTCCTTGATGTCGTTCCCTTGAAGGGGATCCGGCTTGGATCCGAGATTAAAAATGCGTTGCGACCATGTGGCAATCTGAGAGGACATTGATAAGTGATTATTATGGCCAGGAATAGAGAGAAGACATGAAAGCAACTTTCAGAGAGCCAGAAGTCACTGCAGAAGTATTGATTATTACAGAAATCACTTGTTGAGCGCTGGTGATGAAGGGGCTAGAAAAGCCCTAACGCATTTGAGCAAACGCACATACGGAAGTGCGAGTGTCCCCCCAACAATGTTGATTATTCGCAACCAAATAAGAATGAGTAGTACAAATGCAACTAGCTGGCATAACTGGCTGACCTCTGCTGATCAAACTATATGCAAAACATGGAGGAGAATGACCCCCTCCCCCCTTAATGGTTCCCAGCGAAAATCAAGCGTCGACGCCGTTCAAAGCGTTTACAAACACGAACACTTCAACCCTTTTTCAAATCGCAAGTGCATGAAAAAGAAGTAAGCTTACCTTGAGTTCAGACTCTGGTAGTGTTTTCAGTCCACAGACAGTATTCCGTCCGTCTTCTTCAAGTTTAGTAAACACCGCTAGAAGAGCGGCGAAAAATGTGATCTAGAAGAATGTGGCATCAGGCGGAGAAAAATAACAACAAAAAGAAATGTTGGAGAAAGGAAAATAGAATAAATTTTCCAGTTCCATCAAATAAGAAGTGATAGGTCGATGTCTTCATGTTCCGAGACATCTGTCAACAAAAAATCAGGTGTGGCTCACGAGGGGAGAAGGCGAACTTTCCGCTTTTCGCACGCGAAATTTTTTTCGCGGCAGAAATCCCGGCCCCACCCATGAACGCAGCGGAAAGAATTCCGCTCCGCAAAAAGCGACAAATTGGCTTTCTGTTCTAGTGATCCGTCTTCAGTTCCCACGAAATCCGCCGCAGCCATGTGGCTCGTTGCACTTATGAAACACAATGGGCTTTGAAGACACATATAAGTGGAATTTCTTTAATAAATGCAAATCGGGTTGGCATACTTGATGTAGTCCAAAAATAAAATAATAAAATTTACCGGGAATAGTATAGTTTGGTAGGGTTAACAATAGCTGATCAAGCATTGCTTCTTTTAATGCGCAGTAAACCTCACTGCTAGAGGACCGCAATGTAATAGGCCACGCTGTATAGCACAGGAAGAAGAGTGTGACGGCTGCTAAGGGTGGGTAATGGGTCCAACACAACGGACGCGCGTCTGAATGCTTAGTTGGATATGATCAGATTAAAAGTAGTAATCTCAGACAGCGCTTGGTCAGCTTTTTCGAATCCCTGTGGGGGGTGTGGGTACTTAGGACAGAACGCGACTTTTTCGCTCTTCGCAACGCGACATCGCGCGGCAGGCTGGCGCACCCGTAGCGAAAACAACTACGGTATATAAGAACGCGCGATTGGAGCAGCTTTTTTGCATGCGTGAATTTGTAAGTTTCTGATTCCTTACTTGCCCGCGCTCACACCCATTGTATTGATAAATGCGGTGAATCACTAATTCTGTCTCATTATTGAAAACGTTTTGTGACTTACACGATTCCGGGCGATGCCACTAAAATGGTGTTTTACGAATTATCGGTGAACGAGGGTTTAATAGGGTCGCTTGTGCTTGCATTTTGTGGGTTCATATTGTTGTATAGACTTCTGCATAAGGGTATAACATCTTTTACGGAACGCTTCTGTCCTCATTACGGATATGATACTCATTTTGGACGCTGGCGCCATTTGGGGCCAGGTGGCGCCACAACTGTTTCCCACTAAATTCGTTTTAAACTTTTGTATAGGGGTTATTCGGGGTCCTGATTTGTTGTTAGCGCTATTCGGCGCCTGCATCCTGCTCGTCTGCGCCCTCGCACTAATTAGATCGCAAGTAGGACTAAGCCTTTGAGTAGTGTAGGGCTCCAAAGTGGGTAGGCCATTCCCCTGTGGTGTGACACACTCCAACTTTTGCCACACGGTGCGTGGTTTACCCACTCCGGAGTTTCACTCCCCTCCCCTAAGCTTAGTCGTAGGCGCTGTAGGTGAGAAAGCTTAGTAAAGCAGAAAGTATGCGTTAAACAGCACGAATGGAAAAATTAGTGTCATATTCATGATCAGGGCCCCAAATAACCCCTATGCAGAAGTTTACAGTCGTCTCATCAAACGTCCATCAACCATTCCTCTTCCAGGTTCTCCAGAAGCTCTACCATCCATCTCTGCAAAAATAACCTACCTCCCTCTTCACTGCTAGTTAGCGGTCCACTTCTGGTTACCATTTCCTCGTTCATTATCAAATCCATGGCTATTAAGCTTCAAACTCCTTGTCGCAATCAAAGCCGACACAAATATCGCGCTCCAATCGCGCGTTCTTATATACCGTAGTTGTTTTCGCTACGGGTGCGCCAGCCTGCCGCGCGATGTCGCGTTGCGAAGAGCGAAAAAGTCGCGTTCTGTCCTAAGTACCCACACCCGCTGTGGGAAATGAAACACTGCAGGAGGCATACTGAACTCGCTCCGTCCCCTCCTGGACATTTTCTAGCTTCGGAGCGCTGGGTTCTCGACGGGCTGTCTGGATTCGCGCAGAGCCGGCAAATTGAATTCGGCCGCCTTTTCAGTGCCAGAAATAGCTAAGGTAAATCCTGAAGGAGGCAATTGTTGGCCGTGTGAGTGGGCCGCGCAATTTGATTCGCCATGAGGACAAAATTTAGACGGCAACACGGCGCGCAATTCTTCGTCAGCGTCAAGTGAAGGCAGGACACGATGTAACGCTGGAAGCACAGTAGCATTTTATTACGCATCAAACGAAGACCTGGACGACCGCCGGCCCGATGGTCAGACTTCTTCACGAAAGCTCTGAACGAAAGGAATGAAGGACATCGTGTCCCTCGAGCGAGGAGGGTCCACTGGACAACTCTTGCACGCGACAGGGACGAATGGAGACGTTGCTGGCGCCCGCTCGAGCAATTCGATGATCAACGGGACGACAGGTGATACAGGTGATGGAAGCACATACTGTAGTAGAGTGACTAAGAATCGCTAGCGGGCAACTGACTGCATGGCCATTCGTTCAGCGACCGGCAAACATCGGGAGGTACGTCGAATTGCAGCGATCATCAGGAACATATTGTCGATACCGACAGCTTAAAGAAAGTCTAGAATCGCGAACCAGTTACCTAGCTTATTCGACAGCAGCGTATTTTACCTTTCTACTTTTTCCGAAAAACGGTGCACTTACCGACTACCAAGAATGGCATCACGGCCACAATCTCACTGTAGGGCATCCCGAATAGCATCAGCGTGCCGAGCGAGGTCACGATACCCATACAAGCATTTATAAGACCTGAAATTATAGAAACATTGCAATGGGTAGAGGAAGATCCTCAACTGAGTGTACTACGGCCAGCAGCATAAGCTGGATATGAAAAGTATCGAAGCACCCACAATTACTTGGGAAGCTAAGAAAGTTGGACAAAGGGGCACCGCATGAGCTAACTGAGCTGCAGCAAATCGCCGTACAGAAGTCTCATTGCAGCTCGTTACTTGATAAAGACCAACTTTCGGATCAGTGTCATTCGACAAAAATTGGATCCTTTGCAACAAAAGTAAGCCACTCCCTTAACACCTGGGCTGCGATGAACCTCCGAAACTTTTCCGAAGTAGAGCACCTACAACGTGAGGACCACACTGGTGGTTTCGTGGTCATCCGCAGTCATAATGCATAACAGCTTGCTGAAGCCGGAGAATGCAATACAGCACCAATGCTTGCCCAACACACCGACGTGATGCACTGGAAACAGCAAGGTCAGTAGCCAGGGGAAAGAAAAGAATTGTCCTCCATGTTGACGCTCAACCAGATGTCCCACAAACGACCGTGCAAAACCCTAGGCCTATCCAGCTTCGCTTCACAGGCATCTACGCAGCTCTTTTTTAGCAGGAAAAGATTTGAAAGCCGAAACGAGGTAGATATTAAACTCCGATTTCCGTTTCGGTTCGACGAATTCCGCGCTCCCAAGGCTTCTTTTTTTAGGTTCGTACAGTGATTCAGCATGCATCTTGTCGATGAAGATTACAGTTTCTGAAGGTTCTTGAAATGACAAAATTTTTACTATGGGGTGAGATATTCTGTTCTGCAAGTGGAGGTCAAAAACCCGCATTATTTTCTGGACAAACTGATATAACAATAAGGACAAAAATCTGAATTACTGGC